ACTAATAAGTAATTAATTGAAGTAAAGAGGATGTTCTTGGCAAAATACCTTAAAACCACAAGAAAGGTAGGAGCTTAATCTTTCCCCCTCCAAAACAACTCCACCAACACCTTTAACCTTCCCTAATGATCACTTGTATGGTGTAGTTTGTGATTTGGTTGGTTGGAACTCAAGATTTGAGCAAATTTGAAAGCTAGAAATTGAAGAGCTCTCTCTTGTTTTCCTCCTCAAGAGGTTCGGCCAAGACACAAGAAAAATGGGAGATAATTGAGTCAAAATTGATTTTAGGAAAGTTAAGAAGGTCTTGGTCAAAAGTCAAGGTCCAATGGTTATGTGACAAATGGTCCTCTAGGGTTTTAATCTTATCCTTTTGTCTCTCCAAGATTAAACCATCTAAGTAACCTCTAATTATCTCTTAACACCTAGTATATTAATCCCGGTATACAAAACATAACCTACTCGGTCGAATTTATCGTACTTAACGCCACTAGCGGGTCCCACGTCCAATATACACTCTTTATTTCTCAGGAACTAATTTATACTAGGAAAATAATTTTAAAACTGTACTTACTTGTAAAAATGCATAGAAATTTTAATATTTCCAAGGAAAGTATAAAATGTAGGCAAAGAAATAAAATAATACTGAGAAAATGTGAATATTTTTTTTTTGGGTTCTCACAAAGTCAAAGTTCACGAGAGAAGGGATTCACTGCTCAATAAAACTTAATCAGGTACTAGAATCTAGAATATCAAATACCTACCTATTTACAGGATTGGTCACAAGAATGTTCTAAATCTGCACAACACTATTGTTTTCCTTTGACCTTTCACATTTTTCCAACCAACAAAAATGCAAGTCAAATGCTTAACAAATTGTATGCATACAAAGTGAAGGGAGAACAAAACTTTCTGAACGACACTTCGATTTCTACACCTCCACAGATGATAGAATGTAGTAGCAGAAGCAATCCTATGCACTGAGCATGCAAAAAGGGTACTTGAACATTTTCTGTATCATCCAAGGACCCCAACTTAGTAATCTGTCCATTCTAGTAAGCTTCTTTCTACAAGCCATCCAAGCAATACAGGCATTTCTTCAGACTATATGTTAATTTTATGTTATATGTTATAAAATTAGAATAGCGCTAAAATATTCATAAGAATCATAGAAAAATGCCATTTATTTTTTCAGCGAGGTTTATATACCGGATAATCTCCTAATCAAGGCCTTGTGTTCATATCCTTGAAAGACTAACTTTACTTTGCACCCCTAAATTTATATCACTTTCTCACTTTGTACTCTAAATTTCAATTTTAAATACTTTGCACCTTAAACACTTAATTTTGGACACTTTGCACTCTAAACTCTCAAGTTTGTTCCATTTAATCCAATCAATAATTATGTTTGCAAAATTAATGAGATAAAAGATAGCTAAAATTAATGACAATGTACAATTTGACTCTAACTGCCATCCTTTAACTATTTTTGACCACTTTTAGTATATTATCATTGATTTATATGGCTTCAATCACTACTATTATTAATAAATTAATAAGATAAAAGATGGTGCAAATTAATGACAATATATTGTTTTATTTTTGTTACAATACTATCGCACCTTACGACCACTTTCGGCACATTGTCATTGATCTGTTGAATTCTTTAAGCCATTAATTTTTCCTAAAGTTCTCATTATTTGGATCTAAATGGGACAAACTTGAAAGATTAAGGTACAAAATGTTCAAATTAAAGTTTAGAGTGTAAAGTGAAAAAGTGATAAAGGTCCAGAGGCGGAAAGTGGAGTTAATCCTACCTTTGAACAATTGAATGAAAGTTTAGGAAGGATCATAACATAGGTAAAATGTTTCTTACCATTATAAAGGTGTGAATCAACATATGAACAGAAATGAACAGGGATATGAGATGCTTATACTAGCCTATTTGGATTGAAAATTCTTTTTTTTCCATTACATTATAAACATGTTTTTCAATTTTTTTATCTCATATACATTATATCCCAAAAAGTGCTACAGTATTATTTCTAAAATTTTTTGCAAATAATCTTCAATCCAAACAGATACACTTTGTGATTATGTGAAACTTGTAGGCTCTTTTTGTCATTTTGAAGTGGGTGAGAGTGATATTACTAGAAATTAACTATCAGACGTGTGTTGCGAGACGATAAGTGAAAAAAGTTAGGTCAGTTTGAATCCGAGATCTCACTAGTTGATTTGTTGTCTAGTTCAAATATGTTATGTAATTTTTAGAGCATTTGGTGTAAAACTTGAATTCGTAATGTATGCAAGTAAGTTTGTACAAAAAATTTGGATTGAAAATTGTATGAATTTATATCTGATGTTGTTAGATTTACATGATTAGATTGAACTAGAACTGGCCCCAAATCCAGGCCAGGTGCTACTTGATGTTGGTGGACGTTAGCCTAGGGAAGCCTGTGTAACGTTGTTCATCTTTATCTCTCTTCCTCTTTTTTCCCCTGCTATCTCTCTCTATCACTACAAGAAATTTGGCCTTTTGTGACAACATTCACAGTGACAACAGAAAAAGTTGTCATAGTTGAGCAAATTTAGTGACGACTTTTGATGTTATCATAGTTGATCGAGGGTAGACTCATCATCAGTGACAACACGGGATTAATCGTCTCAATATGGGTGGCACGCAAATGGCCTGTGTGGCGGGAAGTCACCATTGTGACAACTTGAAAAAATGTTGTCACTGAAATGGACCCTATAGTGACTACTTACAATGTTATCATAATGTGTTATGGGTTCAAAGTTAGTGACAACAATTAGTCGCCACTGTCTAAAGTAAATGTTCCTAACTTACTTTCATTAATTCTACTATGCCACCCTAATTTTTTCAATATTGTCCCATATGTTGTAAATAAAATTTTATTAATTCTATTATGGCACCCTATATTTTACATTTTTGCCCCATATATGGTAAACTAATTGCATTATTGCATTATCTCTACCATGACACCTTATCTTTTGCAATTTAGCCTCATGTGTAATAAACCAATTTCATTAATTCTATTATGGCACCCTATCATTTACAATTTAGCCTATGTTTTTCATTAGTAAAATGGGGAGGGTATTGTAATAAAAATGTATACATATTTTATAATTCTTCCAAACTTAGTAACTTGTTATGAAGGTAAAACAATATCATGGACTCCCTATCTAGTTCTCTTGGCAACACATGAAAAATTAGTGATCGGAAAATTACTTGTGTGACGACCTAGGAAAATGTTGTCACTAAAATGGTCCATATAATGACAACTTCCAACATCGTCACTGTCGCTCAACCGGTTCAGAGGTAGTGACAACAATTAGTTGTCACTGTCTAAAGTATTTGTTCTTAGATCATTTTCATTAATTCTACTATGCCACCCTAACTTTTGCAATTTAGCCCCAAATGTAATAAAAAATTTCATTAATTCTACTATGACACCATAACTTTTGTAATTTTGCCCCATATGCAGTACACTAATTTCTTTAATTCTACTATTGCACCCTAGCTTTTGCAATTTTGCTCCATATGTAGTATACCAATTTCTTTAACTCTACCATTACACCATAGCTGTTGCAATTAAGCCTTATATCTAATTCGCCAATTTCATTAAATCAACTATGGCACTCTAACTTTTGCAATTTAGCCCTATATGTAATACACAAATTTCATTATTTGTACTATGGCACCCTATGGTGTTGCAATTTAGCGCTATTTTTTTATTAGCAAAATATATAAGGTATCTTAATAAACTATATAGGAATACATATTTTATAATTTTCCCAAACTTAGGTAATAATTTATTATAAATGTAAAAAAATTCATACATTTCCCATTTATCCAAATGACAACACGGTGGAAAATTAATAATTTGGATAATCTAAAAATAGAGGTAGTCAGTAGTAGAATTTAGCAATAAAACTTAATACGAAATTAAGTCTAATCCTAACATTTGCATGATGAAAAGGTTGTTATTAATTATAGAAACTATATTTATCATTTATGAATTGGTACATATACCAAATAAATAGATTTAGCATTTTGTACATGTATTTACAAACTATTTTGATTGTTCAATCAACTAATTCAATTGTCAGGTCTTGTTAAACTGCAAGTCATACATAATTGATAACACCACAAAATGAGTACCAACAAAATTTTAATTAAAAGAGTGTTTATTTTTTTGAATCGTAAACATATTTCTAACAACATTTTTATTTTTTGATCTATTTTATTGTATAATAAATTAGAAAAAGTCCTATATGACTTAAAATTGGTATAAAAAAAAATCTGTCTAAACACACTAAATTGTCATATTCTATTATTTTAACACAACCAGAAACAATAGAAAAACTTAATTACATAAAGATGAGAAAAAGAAAAAAGAGAGAGATAGGTGAAAGGATAAAGAAAGCGTGCACTTCTTGCATCTAAATAAGGAAAAGGCGTGCTTTTTATATGTACGGAACTAAGAGCGGCAAACTCAAAAATTCAAGTGGCATGGCGGGCTGAAGGGATTTTAGGGAAACGACACCATTTGATAGCCAAAATTTAAGACATCTTCTTCCTCTCTTTTTGCCCTCCTCACATCACCGAGAATGCCCTCCTTATGTATCAAGCTTGCACTACCAAATCCATCCATGAACCAATTAGTGCGAACACTTTGAATTTGGGCAACTTTATCGAGTTTGCACCACCAACATCCCTAATTCGCCTGTTGCACTGCCTTGGTGGCAAGAAATCAGAAATTAGGGCTTCAAAATTTGGGTGAAAGCTTGAGTTTAGAGCTTGAAGCTTGGGGAAAACAAGAAGTTAGGGATTGAAGACATAGTTTGAGGTAATTTCAATATTTTGTGTCCGATTTTGTAGTGCATGGTACATATTTTCATGGCTATGGCTAGTTGCACCTTCTCTGTTTCTTGTCACAGAGAGAGAGAGAGAGAGAGAGAGAGAGTGTGTGTGTGTGTGTGTGTCACATCTCAGTCATCAAACTGCAAAGAGAAATTGAAGGACCTGGGGCAATTCATGGATACAGAAATGGAAGGAGAAGAAAGTGAAGAAAGTAGGGGAGGGAAGGTTATGGAAGGAGTAGCGTCAATAGCGCTGTTGCCAAGTGGGTCCATTTCGGGCCACTTCATTCAGCTTCCCAACTCTCTCTGCCTTGGCCTCTGTGGCACTGAGTTAGCCTGTGAAAGAGAATGCAGCAGGGGAGAGGACTACCGTTTGATCAGGCTCACCGTTATAGACTTCAATAGTGGAAGGGAGAAGGACATGGTGGTGGAATGCAGAGGGCATGATGCTGCTAGAATGTGTAATGTTGATCATGCTCATTGGTGGGAAAAGGACGTTGTGTGTATGCTTGAACCAAAGGAGGGGAATTACAAGGTTATAATTTCTTTTGAGTGTGAGACTTTGAAAGCTGATGAAGCAGCAGAGGACCACATCAAGAAGTTCATGCCAAAATTAGCTGGGATAGATGCTGTTGTTAATATCGGCTGGATAAAAATGTTTGGCTTGGACTTTGATGCGGAAGCTGAGGAGCAGCAGGTTCTTTAAAAGATGAAAGTTACAATTGCCAATTCCCTCAAATTCTATTTTGTACTTGGTTTACTCATGGTTGTTGCCCTGTTTGGTTGCATACTCTCTTTTGGGAATCCTGAAATTAGTTGAATTGTATAGTTCAGATGATAGCTTGAATGCGAATGTTTGTTTAACCTTTTTCAAAAAAAAAGAAAAAGAAAAGCTTTTAGGTTCAATCTTGTTAGTCTCTGATTTAAGCATCAACAAGTTTTGAATCCCTTTTGTTTTGTTCTTATATATTTGTTGGATTTTCATGGATTGATTCTTTGTTAGTGATTTTTGGCTAGAGTGCCCCGAAGTTGCTTGTTTGTGTCTTGGCAAAATTTGGTCAAATTCTTTAGGTCTTTTTGAAATTACTATTTCTCATAGCTAATTTTTGATTTGCTTTTAGAGCAGTGCTAGAGCAGAAGTTGCCATCTTTCTTGGATCTTGCTTTTAGATGCACAGAACATGAGCAAACCAATAGGCTGGATATAATTGATGTAGCAAAAGAGATTCGACAAATGGAGAAATTTGTTTGTCATTGTTCCTCTATTACCAAAGTACCATCAAAGTTTTTTCTTTTTTTTTGATAGGGTAGAAGAGCGTCATGTGCTTTGCTTACAAAGGCTAGATTACTATTCTAAAATTAGTCATATGCTAAACAAGATTTTAAACCGTGTATTCTGAAATTGTGTTTATTTCTATAGTTCATTCTCTTATTTATAATTCATTGTCGCTTCCTTTTGCATTGGTCTATTCATTGTTTTCATTTAGCTATCCATTCCTTTGCTGATAATTGTGCATAATACTTCACATTAAAAACAAAAGACACAATATTTTCTTATTTTCTGAGCTGACAAAAGTATTTGCTCTTCCTATCCTCTGAGTCAATTACTTTGATAGTAAAAAGTATCAGAATTTGCAACGTTAATCTGTGTTAAGGTGCTCAATATTTGTTAGTAATTAATCTCATTTTGTTTCAGCAAATGGTCTCTGTCTGTTCCAAAATTAGAAATTGGAGAAATGGTTCTGCGTTTCATTCGTTTTCGCTTCTTTTCCTGTCTGTTTATTTGAATAAGACTGTCATTTCATGTGTACGGATTTCCCTTCTATTTTCTAGGAGACGTATATGCAGTAAATGAAACTGTTTGTATGGGATTTGTTAAGGCATGGTTAAGAGATTTTAAGCAAGTTTCACAGAGATAATAAGAATAGTAATTAAGAATTCAAGTCAGATTATGGTTGTAGTTTCAATATGTGTCACCATTGACGTTTGTAGCAATTATCTCATCTTTTTTTGTTCTTGGGACAGAGAGCTACTCTAGAAGTTGTGAGATTGCTGGCGCAAAAGACCAAAGAAGTTGGATTTGAGTTTCTTAAGTATGTGAAAGAGTAGGAACTGGTAGAATTAGCAGGCTTGTTGTTGGTGGCTCGTGAAAAGGTTGTGCCTCATTTAGAGAGAGGTATGAAAATCCACAATTTTGTCTTGAAAGAAGCTATGTTTCTGAATTTACAAGAAATCAAGTCCTTGTATGGCTACGCTGATGAGAAGTCCCTACAAGAGGTAAAAAAGAAGAATGTGGAGATGGATTCAATACTATTATTACTTGAAGTGTTTGACAGAATTGGTGATAAACTTTCAGCTTATCTTCAAATAGTGCGAAAATAGGTATTGACTACTTGTTTTACCTCTTCAAGGATTGAGGTGGTCACTAGTTTAAACTAAATCCTAATAGTTAAACTAGAGAAGCATAGAATGTATACCCCAAGTTTCTCTTCTTTGGTTGTGTTGTCGTTATTATATTGTTCAACAAATTTGGTGTTATGTTCCACTTTTTGAATTTTGGATGTGAGATTCAATGCATGTGACTGGTATTTCTGTGGTAGGTAGGAGAGGAATACCATGCCAAAGAAATTGGCTGGATCGTGTAAAAAATTGGATTTTCCATGATGCTTGAACTTTTTGATGAAACAAGCAGGTTTTGGTGTCAAGGACTTTTTCCCTCCCCCACTCCCTTTTCTCTGAGTATCTAGTGATACTGTACCACAGTACATGGACTTATTCCAAACAAAGTTTTCCTTGCAGCTTAACATGACAGAATTTGGTATAAGAAGTAAAAGGGAATTGAGATGAATTTGATGCATTTCGGTGATAACATCATTCCTATTAGAAAGGTGAGGATATAAATTCTTTGCATTTCCATTCTCTATTGCAACTACTGTCTTATTAAAATTATATAGTTTTCTAGAAATCTGGTTTAGATACATTGGCATGTAAATGGTATGATTCTTTTACCACTTATCATGGGTGACTTTGTTTGAGTTTTGTTTAGTATGACTATTCATTCAAATTCAATGGTGTACGTTTGTAATGGCATATTTTTTGATTGAATCTACTCTAATGCATGCTACTTTTCTTTCATTGCAGTACAATGCTGTTAAATGCTCATGAGGAAATGAACAATAGCTTGGGCTTTGGATATGCTGATGAGGATGGCTGCATTTTGACATAGATTGCTGCTCTAGTCTATATTTTTGTTTAGAGATCTAATACTCTGTTTTTTGGACTAGCCTATATTTTTGTTTAGAGATCTAAGTACGCTGTTATTTGGATGGATAATGGTAGTTACTAACTGAGCTGATATGGGCTCAATACTTTAGTTTTTTGAATACAGACTAGTTTCAAGGCAAAGCCAAGTTCACTAAGCCTTTTGTCAAATTGAATGTTCTGCCATAATTGTTGGAAATGCCATGACAATGCTGTATTTGTAATGGTCAATTGCAACTCTTCAAGACAAAGCTCGGTGATGACAACTCTTCAACCTTTGAAGGTTGTCACTAACATGTAAGTTCACTAAGTGATGACTATTTTTGTCACTGAATACTAGGATTGATAGTGACAAGCCCAAGTTATCATTGTAGACTTCAAATTTGTGACGATTTTTGCTACATTTAATGACAAAAATTAGGTGAAACAGTGACAATAAAAGTCGTCATAGAATAATAACCGTTAGTGATGACTTCGTCCTCGTCATTGAATGACAAGATTCTGTGACAACATTCAAAGGGTTGTCACATAGACCTATTTGTGACATAGAATCAGTGATAACCATGTGACAATGGAAAAAGTCGTCACTATATTCGTATAATGACAACTTTTTGGTTTTTAGTGATGACTTTTTGTTGTCACAAAAGGCCGATTTTCTTGTAGTGTATCTGGTCAGAGCCATGTGAATCCACCCTTGTGACTTATTAATGTCAAGTTTTTAATCAGAAGACATTGTGTTATATGCAATGCTCATGTGTGCTGGGATTCTTTACGCAAAACTCCACGATTGATTCTTTGTCTGTATTTGAATGATCAACATAGCTTACCCCAACTTAACTAGATAACATGATTATGAGGTTAGACAGAAGTTAAATGTGACAGCCCCACCTCATCCTAAGGCGAACCAAAGGGTTCGGCGGACCGCCTGCCCAACTCTCGCCAGGACTCAGTCGTTCAGTTTAGAGTGATCTAATACGTTCCGGAACATACAAATGCGCATAAACAAGTCAAAATCACAAAATAAAAAAAACGAAAATGGAGTCGGTTATGAATAGTAACCGACACGTCAAAATCCAACCAAACGTCAAGCAAATATTTACATCTCGAAATTTAGCATATACAACCCAAAGGGGCATACCAAAGTGACTCAAAAATGGATACATGTACGGTTTGCCAAATCCAAAAGAGAAACGGACCCAAAAGTACATTTAGGGTTTCAATCAATGAGCTATACAAAAGATATGTCCAACTAACTCAATTCGGCAACCAATTGTCAAATCCAGTCCAAAAGTATTTATTTTCCTGTAAGGAAAAACAAAAAGGAACAGAAAGGGGTGAGCTTGCGCTCAATGAGGTACCAGACATATAGCAGTAAACTCATGGCATTTCACATTTAACAAATCATGTACACATGCCAGATGTCAAGTAAAGGAACCAATGATTCAAATCGGAAGGATACAGGTGGCTCTCAGGAGCCAAATTCCCATTTGCGTCACCGAAACTTGATCGAAATAATAGTTGACACTCCGTCAACGTTACAGAAGTAACCATTACCGTAGACTCAACTTTCTTCAATTCCTTCCACCTCACATACCCCCACCGGGCCCGAAATCCAATCAGATCAGAAATGGTAATACTCGAGTATACCGGAATCAAGGGTCTCAATACCCAAAGATCCCAAAACAGACTACCGTGGTTCGTTATCTAATCGACCAGGCCCTTGCCGGCCCGACTCGAGTAACTGGCCACAGGTGTTGAGTTCAGAGGTCACAGAAAGGTCGTTGGATACAAGCTTCCAAACGACGTCAGAGCAGATACAGATCCAGATACAGATAATAGATATAGATACAGATAGCAGATTTAGATACGCACTCAAAATTGGCATATGAACAGACGAGAACGAGTGTGATAAAGTACACCCTCGCCTCCCTTTTATCAAAACAGTATTTGGCTCCAACAGTCATAAATAAAGTATTTAAGATATTCAGATATTTCACATAACGGGTAGCAGGTAGTGGAACACTCACCGGGGTCAGTACAGATACCTCCCAAAAGAGAGTTTTAATCACCAAGAAACCCTAAAATAATCCAAGGGAAAACAATTGAAGGTTCCACTTTCAAAAATCGAGTATACAGAATGCACATGTGAGGCTCGACTACCAGTCGTATGCCTCGCCAAATAATTACTAATGCAAGGGTGCAAAACATGTTTTTTTTTTTTTTTGAAAACTAAAAGGTAACATGAAGACCTAGGCTCAAACAACCCAAAAGCCCTTCATTTCGACCAAAAGGCAATTCAAACTTAAAGGAACCAAACGGCCTAGAAAATTGGACAGCATTTCCCCTAAATTTGCTTACTTTTCCAGCCGTCATGGCTTCATTATTTTTCCTCAGCCAGTCCCAAAGTCACACACAACATAAGTTCATTCAATAGCCGTTTAGTAAACTCCAAGTAGTACAAGTACAATTCAAGCTAGGGAAAAGTCCGGAAATGAAAGTCAAGCCCTAAAATATTCAAATAAGCACAATAAGACTCAATGACAAGTCATAAACCAATTCCAAATACCACCAAAATAGGGCTCCATAAGCATACATAAGCATTAGAGGAAACCAGAAAAATCCGGAAATGGAGTTAAGCGTTAACCCGAAAAAAACAGTTTTTTGACATCATTTTGCGGTTTTGGTACCAATGGCACTACGATTATCGGATGGAGGTGCAAGATACACCGTTTCGAAAATAAGAGATAGGGATACAATGTTTTAGAAGGTCACTTAGCCCAGTTTCGAGTGTAACTAGGTCAAAAATGCAAGATACTACACCAGAACCGCAAAAACAGGTTCACAGAACGCATTCTGGTGCAAACATCATAAATCAGGTTACCTAAGTCCAAATCCAGAAATTCCAAAGCCATCCGAAAGATAAGAAACAGGGATACAATTCATCAGAAGACCTCAACAACCAATTCGGAATCATTCCCAACCAAAATAACCAATTACAGACGCAATTCTCAAATTCGGGTAAAACCAGGGCAGCAAGGGTAATTCCATCTTTTCTCAAGATACGCTACTCCGATTGACCTGAAATTTTGCAGGCATCTCTAAAATATCATTCCCTACAACTTTCATGTTTTAACCCAAGGCCAATTAGGCCTCTAACTATGAGCTACAAAACCGGGCAGAATGTAATTCAAAGAACCCTAACTTTCCAATTTTTCTTCCAAAACAGAAATTGCTTGCAATTTACCACTTTTTCCACCTTCTAGCTTCCTTAAATATCATTTACAATCATCATACATGACCACATAATCATATTCATATGAAAATAGAAAAATCCCCAATAATTATAAAACTTCATCAATTCAACCAAAATCAAGATATAATCCATAAAAGTGCATCTTATACTACCACCAATCATGATTTAAGCATCATTAGAGGGAGGAGAGGGGTCCTTCTCAACTTACCTTAGCAACACAAGAGGGAGAGCAACTAATCACTTGAGCCTTCCAAACAACTCCACAAAACAACTCACTATCACTCCCTTAAGTGTTTCTATGGAGCAAAAACAAGATTCAATGGTCGATTTGGTAGATTGGAGTAAGATTGAAGCCAAAAACTTGAAGAGTTTTCTTTCTTTTGTTGCTTGAAGAGGTCGGCCAAGATGAAGGAGAAAATGGTGAATTTTTGGTATTATTTATTTATTTATTTGGTCAACTGGTAAGAAAATGAATAGTGGTCATACAAGTCAATCCAACCAAATGGTGACACTTGTTACCCTATTTAATGCAAGTCTATCACTTTGTTTCCTCTCACACCAATCCAAATTGCAACCTCTACTTATCTCTTAACACCCGGTAAATTAATTCCAGTATCCAAAACTTAACCTAGTTGGCCGAATTTTTCCGAACTTTTCGCCCTAGTGGGTCCCACGTCCGGTATATGCTCTTAATTTCTCAAAACTTATTCGATACTAGAAAAATCATCTAAAAACTATATCTACTCCTTAACAGTATCCAGAATATTTCCTAATCACGAAAATGCAGAAAACAAGCCATTAAAGATAAGAAACCTAGAAAGATAATAAAACCTAGAAAATGGAAAAGTTACGGGTTCTCACATTAAATATTTTGCCTACTGTTATATTTTACTGGAAAATCACTTTTACTGCACATATGTTTAGGGGAGTTTACATTACTATTTTCTGCTGCTATCTCAGAATTATTTCCAAAAAAATAAAAATTTGTGTCTAATGAGACTTATGGTAGGAGAATGTACTTTATTTATTCTAGAATGTGTTGAGGGAGGGCCCCATACTTTCTGAAAATTTGCAAACTTGTAACTTATTTCGCTTTATGTTTGTGTAGCTTATCTTAATATGAAAGAATGTAAGATGATCACTGCCATGTCTTTCGTTTTTTTCCTTTTTTCTTTGGGCTTAGTTATGGATTTTGAATAGATTGTTGAATAAGGATCCTAGGTAGACATTTTTTCTTGTCAATCACAATTCAAGACAAGAAGATGGATCAGGTTGTGGAATTTTCACAATGAAATATATGCAATATTGGGCAATGGGATGTCGACCCAACATTACTGGACCAATAAGTGCACTAATCCATGTTGTCCTTCTAGCAGGCTTATTTTATTGCATCCAACTCCTAATATTTGTATGTATAGCTGCAAGCTAGCATTGCTAGAAGCTTGCTGCCTGGGAGATTGCATTGGATAAATTGGCAGACCTTTCACTTATGTTGTTTTCCTAAAATAAAATAAACAGAAAAAGGAGATTGATGCCAAAGGAGATTTGTGGGATGAGGGTTCGAAAAAGAAACTTCTCATTCTGGATCTGAATGGAGTGCTTTTGATCGGTTTACCTCACAGTAGATCCAAACAACATGGCTTTACCTTTAAATCACATTGGATTGAGTTTTTGAAATTCTATTTGTCAAATTTCGTCGTGGTAATTTGGTC